TTGTTTTTCCTATGATTACTTTTAGAATATTGATTTAAACTTATTCTTGTTAAGATTTATCTATTGTCTCAGTGCTTAATTCTTGTGAATAACTTATCATTATTTACATGTTGAAGGTGTTGTGTGATGGATCTAAAGATGAAACATATCATTAGTTCATTAAGATAGTAGACTTAAGGAAAGTGTTCTATAGAAATAAAAACACTCTTTTGTAACATCATATGATTCATGCATGCCTAAGCCGTTACATGACCAAATGCATAGATTGCCTTAGAAGTTAATAGGTTTATTTTACTGCTTGTGAACACAGAAATAGACATAGGATTAATATAAATACATGTGTTGTATCATGAAAGGGAACATCATACACCTTAGGTGATCTAGTCATTAGTTTTAAAAAGATAAGTTTAATCAATCAATCATGAGTTAATCATAAGAATTCAATTGGTGAAATAAAAATCCTAAAATTGCAATTATTATTGGTTAAAGTTTAAGTGATTGATAGTCTTTAATTTATATTTTGATTAATTGATCTTATTTAAATTAAGTTGAACTTTCTAAATAATATAAAAAACCCTAAATTTGGTAGTTGATACAACCTCTTCTTGGGAACTATACTCTACTCACTCTATATTATTTGTTCATGATCTATGCAGTTGCAGGATTAGCATAACAAATATAACCCTTACAATGCCTTTTTCACAAGAACAAGCATAACCCATACAATGCCTTTTTACTAGAGCAGGCACAACCCTTACAATGTTACCTTTTGAAGGCTAAGTCACAATATTTTCTCTCCTACAATTTGAGTAGCAATGATACCTTTAAGAGGTAGATTTTGCTGAGTAAGTACAATAAAGGAAGAATGGGTAAAAAATGTGTACTATGATTGGAGTGAGAGCACAAATAAATTTTCAACTCAAGAGTGAATGCTTGTTTTTGCTTGGTTGTTCTCTCATTTCTTTGCAAGGCTTGATTCTTAAGTGTTTGATTTATTTCTCACTTCTTCCACTCTTTTGAATGCTTCAAATGGTTTTTTTTATAGTTAGAGAAGTCTTTGAGTCATTGAGGATGATTCCATAAAGAAAATAGTAGTTTGTCTTTTGAAATCTATGTCTAACGATCATCTAGGGTTGACTATGGAGATATGGCAGGCGATCCTCTACAGCTTCAGACTTTTTCTTCTTCGAATTTGTGCTTTGAGGGTCAAGTATTTAATGAGGCATTCGACCCTCAACCTAAGGCTAACTTCATTTTTTTTTTCTTGCTTTGAGGTCAAGTCTGAAAATTATGTATTTGACTCTCCAACCTTTTAGATGTTCTTTGGCTCCTTTTTCTTTTTCTAGGGTCGATTATGAAAGTTGTGTAATTGACTCTCTAAGGCAAAAGTTGATCTTCTAAGCTTTCTTCTCTTTTTCTTGCTTTTTGCTCTATGGTCGAGTTTCAAGACGTGTAGTTGACCCCAAACTCGAGCCTTCACTTCATTCTTTCTTCATTTGTGCATGTAAGGTTGAGTATGAAGAAGTTGCAATCGACCTTGGACCAGTGCCTTTATCACATGAGCTTTCAGTTGAGCTTTTTCGATGCCTTTTTAACTTTGAGTCAAACTTGGTGTTGAGAAGGTTGATCCTTCTTGAATTATGAACCTATCTTAGAAATCAAATATCTCAACTATAAACATTATGGAGATTATAACACTTGTTCAAAGAAGTTTAACACTCATACAATTAAGTCAATCAAGCTTGTAGACATTTCAAAAGCAATTGCTTGAGAATCCAGTAACTTAAAGAATTAATCAAGGTTCACTCCAATAGGTTCAAGTAAATTTGATCTTTTTTGTCATTTCAAAATTATAATCATTTTAGAGCTAATAAAGCT